TTATATACAATTACATATAAAATATATAATTTATATATAGGTTATATAAAATTTTATATAAAATATTTTTTCTCGAGTGTTTTATAGTTATTATTATATGTAAGATAATAATTATCAAAAGTTTTATAGCAACTATGAAAAGATTTGTAGTTACCATCAATTATTATTAGTACTATCACTATCACTCATAGTTTACTATCAACGTAGTGATATTTATCAAGTATAAAGCAATAACTATCAATAGTTCACAGTTTATTATAATTTTTTGATAATTACCTCCAAAATTTCATAATAAACTAGGAAATTTTGATAGTTACTTTGAAATAGAAAATAATATTTTTCCATGAGGGTTAATTCGCACAAAAATTGAGGAAATGTATGAAGGAGTTCTGGGTTCGTGGTTCGCCGCCGTCGTTCCTGTATCGATCGATCCATGCTACTGCTGAACGTAATCACTCCCACACCTGGTGTGCCGTCAGTTAGTAACGGTTCTCCTCATGGCGAACATAGTTAAGTAGAATTTATACATCGCGAGTAAATTAAATCTACATATGTACGTGAATATTAATGAAGATTACAACGAGGACAAAATTATTTTCTTCAGGGCTGCGATGATATCACGGTTGAGTGTATTCGCAAGTTTCATGAATGATCGATCGGTTCGCACAAGTGGAGCACACGCGATATTCTTTCGTAGACGACCTTCTTTCTATTAACAGTGAGCGTCAGTTGCAGCCTCAAGAAACCCGAAGTCGCAGAGATGGCTGCGGAATCCACGAGAGGTAGGAGATTAAGGAGATCGCGCAACGTTTCCTCTTTCTTCGATGAATCGACGGAGAACGCGATGTCGCCGAAGACGATGAACGTCATCGTGGACGTTCACCACGCAGGTGAAAGATTAAGCCAACGACAACAACAAAACAATGAAAATGATATTACGATCGATAAGGAGACTAAACGATCCTCCGAACGATCTTCCCAAAGTTCCAAAGTTTCTTCGCGAGCGAGTGAAAAACCTCGGAATCGTTTCTCTGATCGCAGGAGTTCTTCGAAGGATCTTCCCAAACATGATGATTTGATGGTGGAGTCGTTAGATCTAATAAAGGAATTCGAGGCTCCGAGAAAGAGAAACGAGTCTCTCGAGGAGAAACCGCGACGCAGGAAGCAATGGAACACCGCGGCAAACGAAACGGAAGTAGATTCGAAAAGACCGCCGCGGAAACGCTGGTCCAAGGACGCCGGGGTGATCCGATTACCCGAGACGAGCGACGATGCATCCCCGTTGATCGAAGACTCGCGTAAAACGCCGGTACCAGCACCGCGAACCAACTTGCGGCGGAGTGACGCCATCCTCTTCGACAATCCGGCGTTCGTATCCGATAACGAGGACGAGGTGCTCCGGATTGAGACTGATCATAATCGAGAGAGCACCAAGATTGAAATGAGGAGACTGAGCGATCGTTCGAATGTCGAGGACGTGGACGTCGCTGGGATTACGTCCAGCAGTTCTTCGAGGAAGCATCGACAGGAATCTGTGAGCGAACGTCTCGCAGTGGAAAGCAATGATCGTTCTTTGAAAGCGAGATTTTCGGAAAGTCGAAGGAATAGTATTGGGGAATTCGATTCGTCGGCGAGTCTGGAGAGGATCACTGATGTTCGATCGAGTTCAATCGCCTCCGAGGAACGAGTCTCGAGTAGCCGGAAGTCCAAACCGGAAACGACGCGCAATCGATCCAGAAGGAAAGAGCGATCGTTGCTCAAGAAGAAGGAGTCTTCCGGTGAAGATGTGCTCCTCAGTTCATCCGCAAAGGATGCTAATTCGATGACAGAGACAGATACAAGAATGAGAAGAAAGAGGAAAAAGAAACGTAAACAGGAAAAGGAAATGAAGGAGAAGGAAGAGGTGAAATTTGTTTCAGTAACGATTCATCGGGCGGATGTGCTAGAAGCTGATTACGTGAGCGTAAGGCGACCGATGGTCAGGGTTCATATCGTGGAGGCTCACACGGGTTCATATTTGAAGAGCACAGAGAGCGGCGATACATATCTTCAACCGATGATCACCGGCAAGTTTGACTTCAAGAAGAATAGGTCGATGATACCAGTCTGGGAAGAGGAGCTTATCTTTGAACACAACTTCGACGCGATTATGAGACGCGAAGATGGCGAACAAGTGGTGATTCTCTTCGAAATTATAGAGCTCCTGAGCTTCGCCGACGCAAGCATCAGTTATGACAAAATTGGTAAATTTCTGCTCAAATCTTATAAGTATATTATCTAGCTAGTTTATTAGAAAAATGATAATGAGAATGCATGAGATTAATTAGTCTTTTTTTAATGCAATTTTACATGAAAAAGTTTATTTTTTCGTTTTTTTCTAAATTAATTATTTTATTTACGTCAAGTGATTAACATATAAATTATATGCTTTTGAAAGTACGATAACAATTAAATAATCAACAATTAAATTCTTAAGAACAGAGATTTGTTAATAATGAGCTAGAAGTAAGTTAAATAAATTATTCGATTGTAAATGTTATTAATATATAATATCTATTGGAATATTTAGGAATTTCTTATAATTTTTTAGAATTGCATTGAGTTTTTTGCTTGCTAAAAATCTAATAATTCACGTTTGACAATTCAGGTAGCGAGGGATGCTGGAACAAAATCGCCTGGGCATTTCTGAAGCCCGTAGGAACTAACAGTATTCTTCATATAGACAAAAAAGTGCGATTGCAACTTTACAAACCTAGACGGAGCTTTAAAAAATACGGAAGACAAAAGTGCGAGGTATTTATCGTTTTTGTTACGCAAGCAAATTTCTTTATTTCTTTGGCATTTGCCAAAAATTGGCATTGCCAATTTTTACACTTTCTACACATTTCCTAAAAACTGCCTATGTGTTCCGCTTTGATTCATCACTAAAATGTTTTTTTCAATTCGCCTAAAAATTTTGAGAAAAATTTTTAGGATAAATAGAATAGATACAGAATAAGTTTGCAGATCACAACAAATATCACGTCGTCTTTTATCGCTCTATTATATTTGGGTTCTTTAAAAAAATCAGATGAAAGTTTTTGGCATAGATATCATTGAATTCTATTGTTGGCTGTAATAAACAATGAACGTAATTTATCACAAAAAAAAGAAGGATCGTATAACTTTTTATCTTCAGAATGTGATTTTCACTTTTTCGTAAAACTAATCTATCTATAGCGTATCTATAGCCTATCTATAGCGGAGGATTAGAAGTTTTAAGATCTTTTTGGGATAATTTACGTAAAATTTCGCAACAATGTCATATTGAACAAACTTTTACTACTTTTATTTTGCATACAGGTTTATACTTGGTGGCAGTCGAACAATAGAGACAAATATCCCAGTAGTCTCCTAGTAACGGTGACATCAATCCCACCGCCAAAACTCGAGTCAGTGCTTTATCAAAAGCTGTCAATAAATGATCTCCTTGATGAATCACAAAACAACTTGCGGGATCTTTCAAAATGCACGTCGGAATCGGTAGGTCTTCCTAAATGGGCGCGATTAGCGGCTCAATCTTGCAAAATTCCGAATGAGAAGATGTTCGAGACGGAAGTGAGCGAAAAAGGCTGCTTCTACGTCGCCTTCAGCAACGACGGCAAGTATCTGGCTTGCGTCCATTCCGAGGAGTACTATTACCCAATTGTCGTTTATGAGGTGCGTCAATATCGCAGATATCGCAAACAAATATCACGACTAAAAGAGAGGAGAATGAAAGAAAAGAATGAAAAAGATAATTAAATTTTTCTGAGGCAATAAGATCGTAAAATTCAGTCGTTTTTATTTGTGTTCAAATTGTTATCAATTGTGTTTATCATTATTTCGATTTCAGGTCGAAACCGGCAAGATCCATGTTCGATTTCTCGGTCACAAGGCTTTCGTGTACTCTCTAAATTGGTCCAGCGACGATCATTGCCTGTTGTCGGCGTCAACAGATCAAACGGCACGTATCTGGGATGTTCGCAGTCAAATCGTGCAGCACATCGAGGTCATTAATTAAGATTAACGATATTAATTTTTAATTATAAGCTTCTTTCAATTTTTTAAATATCTAAAACTGTGCATTTTATTGACAACAAATGCGTTTTAACATATTCGCATTAATTTTTTCTAATAAGTATTTTATATATAATTAAAAAAACTTAAATTGTTAGATTGAATAAAATTGTTTGAAACATAACACGATCTGTGGCAGATCGTCTTTAAAATGTATTGTTAAAGGAAAATTTATGTTTAATATAAATGTACACAAAACAAATTTATTATAGATGCTCCCACATCCTTCGTATGTCTATTGCGCCAAGTACGGACCCGGCAATGCGACGATCGTGGCGACAGGATGTTACGATCGAATAGTTCGCATCTGGGTGAACGGCAGGAGATCAAGGAAGCGAGAATTGAACCAGGAATTGGAAGGCCACGAGGGTTTCGTCAATTCGATGGTTTTTAAAAAAAACGGTAATTTGATTACCGCCGACAGCGTAGGATTGATAATTCTTTGGACAATCCGTATAGACAGTAAGATATCATCTAAGAGGACTGGATGCATCTTGAGGAAGATAAAAATTCGCGAGATCGAGGGTGTCGTTATCAACACAATCGTTCTGCATCCCCTGGAGTCTAGACTCCTCGTACATTCGAGAGATAATGGCTTGCGAATGCTGGATCTCGCGACCGGCGTAGTATTGCAAAAGTATAAACGGCTAAATAATCAAAGGCACGTTGGACTTTTTATGCATTTCTAACATTCGCGTTCTCATTGCAATTAACTTTCTTTATATATCCCAGCATATGATATATGAAGACAACGTTTAATAATATTGAATTTTTTTCCTTTTCTTATATAGCCTTCTTTCTTCTATTTTTCTTAACTTTTTCTCGATATTTTTTTTCGGTTAATTTTCTTCTTTATTCTATTTTTTTCACATCCTTTTTTAAATTTATAGTAATATATCCTTATTTAAATTTATTATATCCACTTTATACTTTTTTTTCCATTTTTTATCAATCTTTTTTACGCTAGCTTTGCTTCTCAATAGATTTTCCAAATCTCTGTTGCACTTTATATTTGTTTTATCACTACTGCTGCTTCTCGTATTCGTTCATTTTTTAATTAAACTTTTTTGTTAATTCGAGCTATCGTGTGAGCCTCTTTTTTTTCTTACTTATAGAATACAATTAAAAGCCTGTATATCTCCCTGCGGTGGATTTGTTATATGCGGTAGCGAGGATTCCGTATTGAATATCTGGAATTTGGAGACAGGTAAACTCGTAGCCAAGTACACAAATGATGAACGTAATTCGGCTAAGACAATTGTTACCTGTGTGGATTACCATCCCTACGATCACGTTTTGGCATATTCGATATTTGGCAGTCCCACATCAGTAGATGTTCTGAGATACAATAAAGACGCCAATGGGAATGACGTTGGATTACATCTTATGGAAGACGCGTCACAAAGTCGAGGTAATGAAGTGATCTTGAATGCTTTGAGTTGCCCTCGACAGAATAAACCTAACGTAGCAGGGAGGAAGGAAATGCCCCCTCATCATTTAACAGCCGATCACACGATAATACAAATCGAAAATAATGATTATGGACGACTGTGGACAATGCCGCACTCGAGAGAAATGGAGCGAAATTGGAGGAAGAAGAGTTGGGATCGACTTCATAATATTATTGAAAAAATCGACTCAATATTATTCGGGAATTCAATGTTTGAAGACGTCGCCAAACAGAGTTCCAGCGCGAACTGTGATTCTTGGACCAACAACGCGTCTAACAACGTCGATTTGCAACGAGATGTACTTCTCGATGATCGTGCCGTGAACTCCATAAAATCCCATGATGGTAACAATACGCAGTCTAGCTTCACGACTGTATCAAAGAGTTTGGATCATTCATCTGATTTTCGCAATTCGGCAGTTGCGTTAAAAAAAACAGATACGTCGTTGCACATAAGCTCCCCAGACAGCGCTGGTACTTATATCGTGGAAATGTCGAACTTCAATAAAAACATTGAAGTTGGTGTTACTGAGGAGAAAGATTCCGTCCAAACGATTGGGAGCGATAGTTCACGGATTAGTAATGTTACATTCCTCGTAGAGAATGAGCGAACATAAGTGATATCATTTCTTATACCTCTTAGTTCTCTTTTAAGCTCAATTTTTTTATATTTGGTCCCGTTAACATGATGAGTATTCTACCTTCATCGTATTGTACAATTTTATAATATTACTAATTTGACATTTTATTTATGTGTAAAAAAATAAAATGCATGTGGAAAAAATTATACATAAACTTTATTTTATATGCTGTAACTTTAGTTGCAATAGAAAAATAAAAATATATTCATTATAAATAAATCTTGTGAGAATCTCTAATGACACGCTTACAATATGGCAAAAAAGGTAATTACAATCCAAATCAAATCACGTATCAAAAGCGTAATGTTCAATGTATGTGTATGTGTATGTGTATTTGTGTGTGTGTGTGTATGTATGTGTATATATTTATATATAAATATACATATATAGAAATTATACATGTATAGAAGTAATTTCTTTATTTATAGATATGGAATGCTGTTACTTAGTTAATATATTATACACAGCCAATCTTTTGTCATTAGACAATCATACTGTTTCGTTTAATATATATCATGAATTAACTTTGCAAAGTTAAACGACAAAAAATTAAAGGGGATACAATATAACATTGTTAAAGAATACTCGACATTAAAATTAATATCTTCAAGAAATTCAACAAAATTATAATAAAATTTCTTTGTAAATAAACTGCACTTTGTTATAAGTTCAACGGTTTACAATTACATATCTGCTTATATGTGATAACAAAAACTTAATTCATAACAGTAAACGTTAAGAAAAACTATTATAACACGCGCGTATAAATTGTATACAAGCCTTTATATAAACGAGTAATTTTTTCGAAAAATTCTATTTATATTATAAATAAATATATGTGTTATCTCTTTTGCTCATATCTTTTGATACTTAGAGAAAAAAGAAAGTTTTCAAATAACAAAACTGATAAATTTTATTAAAACTTAAAATAATAATTGTTATTCCTTTTTGTAATGATTATGTGCGTATCAATGTGTAACCGTGACGGAAAAAAATAAAACTTTACAGGTAACTCGTGGAAGTGTTCTCTTCGGATTTTGATGAGCTTTGAATGTTGTTTTTTAGACAAAAAAAAAGGACATATTTTTTTATAACCAATTGATAAAAGGCGCAAGGAGTGCAACACTCCTTTGAAAAAAAATTGGTTACTATCTTTTGAGCGAATTAAAATTATAAGAGAAAAAAAAAGTTTGAAATAAAAGTTGAATTGTTCTAAGAATACTTAATAATTATAATAAATAATTTTAAAAAGATTACAATTGATATCAATTAAAATAAATTTTTTTTAACTATCATAAAGTATTTTTCAAACCATTAAACTTTTCTTCAGAACATATTTTTTTATCTACAATTTCAACGATATTCGCTTCGAAAAAAACCTTTTCTTAAAAAAAAAATACGAGTCCTTTATTTTTGTGTAGAATATAACAAGCAAAGCTCATCAAAATTGAAAGAGAATGTTTCCATGGGTTTCCTTGTTAGAAACATTCCTTATGTCGTTCTTTCATGACAAGTTCGTGCATATATAAACAGTCCATTATCACGGCGTCATAAGATAACAATACATATATTCATAAAGAAAAAAATAGATATTTCTAATTGTCGATTGATTTAATCAACTAAGAAGGAAGACCTTCAACTTCTTCGATGTATTTGGCACGCTTTTCTTCTACTAATAACTTATCAATGTATATATCTTTTTCAGTGCTAGTGTCAATCAATTTTAAACCCAACATGGTACCATTGACTGGCGAGAGACTGTCAAATACCGACTCCACGATTACAGAGACGAAGTCCTTATCAAGCACTAAATCCTTAAATTTGACGCAGTCGGTCACCGTCCAGTCAACATTTAAAGGCTCTATTCCTAATCAATGTTAAAAGTCATTGTTAGAATTCTTTGCGAGTGATATAAGAATTTAAGTTATATTTGTAACGTAAAAGAAGCCTTTTTCTTACCAACGAGTTTAGCCTTTACTGCTTGATATGGTAATTTTAAGAATTTACTCATCAATGGCTGCAAATTGCTGATAGATATTATTGTCACGTCGCCGTAGTCACAGAGATATACTGATACATCATTATCGCTGATAATGTCAGTAACATATACTCTAAAATAAATATAACGTTATTATTAACCATTATTATATTCTTTTTTATATTGCAAAATGATGTGCTGCATACCTATACCAATCATCTTGAAGTTTTCCTGCATAGAGTTTGCCTTCACTGATAGACTCCAAAGGCGGATTATCGTTTGCATCGTAGTACTTTCGTAAGTCCATCATCATTTCCTAGAAATAAGAAGGTCCAGAATATATTTAATTAATTAATTGAACATAACGTACACTTAAAAAATTCCTATTGATTTTTACGTACTCTTAACTGGTTAGCATTGTTCAACGGTTGCACGATAAAATGTCCTGGATGCGCAACTAATGTTACATGGACATCAAAATACTGACCGATGTCTGAAATTACAGGTGGATTCAATTTGCCGACGATCTCGGGAGCACGAGTACTTTTACGATCCAATCGTTTCTTGGATTTGTTATTATTATTGCTATCTTCTTTGATTCTATACATACATAGAAACTCGTTTAATAAAATTTATAAAGCTAGTACACAATTATAAAAGCACAGAGTTATATAAATAAATATATATATATAAATATGTAGCAAAAATGAAACAAAAATAAAATACAAGGACATAGAGCATGCATATAGGGATAGTTTGTAACAGAACTGCCAAATTTTTACTTCGATAGTTCGCCGGCATAAATCAGTGATGTATTTATCGAAGCCAACATGTTATTCGGTCCAATTCTTTTAAAAATCTCTACCACTGGAACTCCAGAATTGCTGATCCTAATGACCCTCGCTACAAGCATATCTGTGTCCGAAACTAATTCTTGGAATCTTGCCACGAATCTCTTGCTGTACATTGACTGATCAATATTGTGCAAAAAGATTTGCATTGCCTGATTTTTTACACACGAACATATAAATATCAGTTTTATCTTCACAAAAAATTAAAGAAACATTAAATGTCGATGAAAAAAAAAATTTTCTCATACTTGCGGAGGAATGCACTGTAGAGTCTTTGATGTTTTGTCTATGTGAAATAGATTTGCTCTTGGTATCAAAACAATTTTACCAACGTCAATCAGAAATACCGTTACTTCTTGCTCGGCAGGAATGTCAGTCACTCTTGCCCTATACAATTGCGAATTCCAGTCCGCAAGGTATGTTTTTGTAAAGTTAATCGCATTCACTTTCATTTTTGTAGCAAATTGAAACATATTTTCATTACTCAATATATTTTTGGTAAATGAGTTTAATTGCGCATAAACTTTACCATATTCATCTATGTGCGTGACGTTTAATTCGATTAATTGTCCTACCTGTGAAAAACAACCGATATATTTAAGAAAGCAACAAAGAATCGCAATAACAGAAAATCATAATAATAAATCAAAAGACAATTACACGCATTTTGAACGTAACAGTCATAACTTCTAAAATTTTGTCAATTAGGATTTGGTTCACATCAATATCTTCGTCTCCTTTGCTGGTGTCGTAAAAAGTTACCGTTACGTATGAACCATATTCATCGCTATCCATACCATGTACTTTCACGTAAAACAATTGATCGACTAAAAGATAATTTTCGATCTCCGTTATCATCTGAGCGCAATCGCGGAACTCCTTTAATCCTTGAAGACCTATTCTTATAGCCTATATAAAATAGAAACATACATGAGATCAAATTAAATTAATGTAAAGTACATATCCGTTTGCAATGTTGCAATTGCAGATTAACTTCAATCTCGGTTCAATTTACTTGTCACCTTTTTCTAATTTCTAGAACTAGAAAAAGATGGAGTATAAGTTGAATCTAGATTAAAGTCAATCTACAATGATAGAAATGAGAATTAAAAAAAAATGTCAAATAGTTGAGTTACTTGAAATGGAAGAGTGTTGAATCTCTTGTCCAAAGGATGCAAAACGTCAGATTTATATTGCTCCACATATCCCTGGTCGATAAAGAATACCGAGGCGATTCCAGTTTCATTGTTATAATCTGTGCACTCAACTCGATGCCAATAATTTTCTTCGAGTACGGCATAGAAATCGCCGGGTATGCATGCCACGGACGAGATAGGTTTATTTATTTTATCATAATAACTTGTCATTTCATTTGTCATATCAACAAATTCGTTCTATGAAACAAGAAGAGTGTTAGCTCGTGGAAAAAAAATGAATGGATAAACGAGATATTCGGATATTTACATTGTCATCGCCTAGGCGAACCCAGATTTCAACGGTGTTTACAACGTAAGTGACACAAACTTGCCAAATATGTGCTTCAGGTACTGGCAATATACTGGGCGTGGCAGGTCCAATCGGATTCAATTGTATTTTCTTGTTAGTCAGAAGAATATTCTCAGGAATATTCTCAGGAATATTCTTGAATGCGGAATTACCGTCCAATCGCTAAATAAAAAAAAAATAATTTATTTCGAATTCTTCTGGAAACAATTATAACATACAATGCACATTTGTATTACTTTTAAAGTTGGAGAAGTTAGGCAAAGTATCATGGAATCCCCAACACCTTTCTCTTGATTTATATCCACGCATTTTTCAATAATTGTTTGCCAATTGTGGGGCAGAGCCTCCCCATATTGTTCGTTGTAATATTCGGGTAATAGATGCATGAAGACCCCACTATGATGCGTGGTTATAATTTTTAAAATGCGTTTTTTAATTAATTCTGCATCAGCAGTCGTCACCTCGGAGCTCGTCGATTCCTTAGCAAGATGTCCCAGAGCTAAACGTGCTGCAATTTTCTCGGCTTCCTCTTCAGTCGCTGCGTCCTCTGGGTATGTGTGGAATGTATGCGAACCAACCTATGAGATTCATGGATTAATTAATTAATTAATAAACACAATTAATTAAATAAATAAATATAA